TATCTTTATTAATATTTGCTAATTCATTACGAAAATATAAAGATCTGTATCTTAAGATTGCCGAGTGTGCTTGGAATATTTTGGTGTTTGGGGATTCACCAACATTAATAAATATATTAAAGTCTTCTTTGTCATCAAGTAGTTCAAGATAATTATTTGAAAGTTTTTCAAAAAATTTTACTGCCATTTTAATAAACTTGAATTTACGAAATAGATTAGTGCACAGGTAGAACTGTAGACCTATTCTAAAAGTATTATATTAAAAAATTTTTGTAAATAATAATAAGTTATTCCAAAGGTTTTTTAACAATAATTATAATTAAAAAAACCATTAAAATACTAATAAAAAGCCTTTGAATTTACTATCAATTCAAAATACAAATCTGTATAAAAAGTTTTTAAAAAACTAATAGAAAATATTCAAAAAGCTAATAAATAATAATAAGTTATTCCTAAAGTTTTTTGACAATAAATATAACTAAAAAATACCATTTTAAAAACCTTTGAATTGCTATCAAATCAAAATATAAAATATGTATTATAAGTTTTTTAAAACATTTAAAAAACTAATAAAATACTTATGTAAGATACTTAGCGTTAGTACTACGTAGTGCTTCATAGACAGAAGTTCGTCTGATTGGCTAATAAATTCAATTTAATTTTATATTATTTATCGTTATACAGTTTAGAGTACTTTTTAAAAAAACGTAAACCAACCATAATAAAGTAAAAAAAAAACCATATAAAAGGTTTCATTAGAGTTGTAGGACTCCATAGTCAAAAATAAGATCTAATTCTCGTCCGTTTAAAAAAATTGGCTTTGTAATAAGTTGATTTTATCAGGTTTTGAGAAGTTATTGCTATACTAACTTTTTTAAACGGACGAGAATTAGACCTTATTTTTCGGTATTGCATAAAAGCGTAAGGTTAATACCATGAAAGACGTAGCGTAGGCTAAAAAAAGGGGAAAAGCGTATAGTATATATATATGTATAAAAATTTGTTTTAAAAAAAGCGTATAGCATACATATATGTATAAAAAAAAAATTGAGTCGGTTATACTAGTTTGTATACTATATATTTATATAGGCATAGAAATTTTTTATCTATGGCTTTTCACATGATATGTAATAATTAATTTGATCGGGGTCGGAAGTTGATCGCTTAAATATTTAGGCCATTTTACACAATTGATAAGAAAATTAATTGGATTTTAACTATGATGCAATCGATAAAGAATATTAATTTAACTATGATGCAATCGATAAAGAAAATTGATTTAACTATGTTGCAATCGATAATAAAAAAAATTCATTTAACTATGATGCAATCAATAAATTAATAATGGGTAATGGTAATAACAAATCAAAGAGAAAGAATCGAAAAGCAACATTTATTATATATATTTAATCGATATAGATGAAAAAATCGACCATTTATCCAAATATTTTATGCACAACATTATCGCAATATTTAAAGTTTTTTTTTTTTTTTTTTTTTAATGGGATGTTTTTGGGGCAATTTATCTAAACAAGTTTTAAATATTAATAATTTTTTACTTTATTATTTTCACATATATAAAATTTGCATAATTTAAGCATACTTAATATATTTATTCATCAAGACCATATTCATGCTCTTAATTGCATTAGAAATTCATAATTCCCTTAGTTTTTCTTTACGTTCTTCAATTATTAACTTGCATTCCTCATATTCTAATTGTTCCATCATTGTCATACCAGATTCTTTAGATTTATTATCATGAAATTCTTGCAATATATCATCAGTTAAATCAATTACTTTAGATATTCATTGTTTTTTATTATTTTGCTTTTTAGTTGAATTAGCTTTAGCCTTCCGTTTAGTTATTTTTAAAACAATTTAATAAATATAATTATAAAAAAAATTTAAAATTAAAAAAATATATATTTACTACTTCATTTAATTACCAATTTTTTTTTTTGAAATGTCACTTTTATCTTGACCACTTAGATTAACATTGTAATTGGTTTTTATATCAATTCTTTTATAATTGTGCATATCTAATTTTTGTCCTCTAAAAAAAATCAAATAATAAATAATAAACAATATATTATAACATATTTATTATATATTATAAACAAACCTTATTATCATAGTCATTAGTTTGAGTTGTTTGCCTTCACGATTGCTCATAGCATGTGCTGCTTCAGCACAATTTGTACTATATAGTGCTGCATGCCACAAATTATGTGGAATTTTTGAAAGATTTGGATTAAGTGAGGTGATAATATAAGGTTGTTTATAGTATTGAACCCAATCTATTATATATTTAATATATTTTTTTTAAATTAAATTATTTAATATATTTATTATAATTTTATAAAACTTACCTGTAAGGTTTTTATCAAGTTCTAATAATTCATTAAATATTAAATCTACTTCTTTAGCTTTCGCAGTTAATAATAATTCCATTTTAGCTTTAATGTTATCTTCAAATCTTTTTTCATATAATTTTCTGTATAAAAATTTATTATTAAAATATATTTAATATTAATAAAAATTTAATTTTAATTATTATTATTAACTTATCATTTATAATGAACTTGACATGATTTAAAAATATGAACTAAATGTTCTTTCCATGTGAAAGAATTATCAATTAAAGCTAATATTTTACCTAATCCAGTAAGTTGTGCTATATCAAGATCACCAACAATACAACTCCATTCTTTTTTGTAAATGTGATTAAACTTTGCTGATTTATCAGTAAATTGTTTGATAAGATCAAATAATGTTTCAAACATATGTTGATATGCAAAAGTAGTTGCTTGATTTGTAAAAATTCAAGCAAAAATTAAAACTAAATAAAAATAAATTACAATTAATATGATAAAATCTAATATATATATTATTGTAAAAAAACTTACTTGTATTATATTTTTTATTATAATAGTTTACTTCAAATTCATTAATATTTCCAGCAATTCTTTTGAATAATAAATCAATTTCAAAATAATTATATTTGATCCATTTTCGTATTTGGACTTGAGTAGTACAAATAATCATTACATGCCCATTATTAAAAAAATCTAAACCAAATAATAAATTAGATAGATAATTAAAATTTTAAATTTTACAACTAAGAATTTACTTACTTAGCCATTGAACATAATTTTGAAAATTATCAATATTGTGTGAAAAATTATATACAACTCCTAATAAATCTTGACCAAATGGACGTTTTTCTTTTTGAATTTTATTTACGCAACTTCGTAACTTGTTTGTATCATTAAGTAAAGCATGAACTTTACATAAATTATCAACGCCAAAATAGGTCTTTATTAAATTACTTAAAATAAAAATAAATACTATAAGACTAATAATAAATATTCAATATATATTAAACAAATTTATTTTAAATTTACCTGCTATAATACAGGTAGGAGTTATATCTAATAAATTTTCATTGGCTTGCTTAACAAGTATTTGTAATTATTGTTTAATATAATTTGAAGTTTGTATAGGAGATAGTGGTGAATATGTATGTAATCCTTTATATATAAGAATTACAAATAGACATGCTTTAAGATTTAACAGTATAAGTTTGTAAAATTCAATTTTGCATGTTTTTTTTTAATTTGACTATGACATATTCTATTTCCTGATCGATGAGGATAAGCTAATAATAATATATAATATATTAAAAAATTTTACAATTTAAAAATATATTCTATTTTTTATTATTACTTACAACAATATTTTTTTTGAAGAATTAGATAATATGACATAACATTCATTTATAGATTCAGTATCAATATGATTAGGCTATAAATTAAAAGTTAATTAAAATTATATAAATTAATTAATTTAATATTATTTATTATATATTATTACTTCATAAGTACCATCAAATAAATTGCACAAAAGCTCAATATTAATATCAAAAGAAATGCACATAAAACAATAATTCTTTTCTCCAAATTTTCAATTAATACATCCAATAAAATAAGTAGATTCAGAATGATTCTGATGTGATAAACGACACAAAACAGGCCTGCCTTCACATAATTTTTGATTTTTTTGAAACTTATACAGTGTTTCAAGAGCAGCAAGGTAAAGTCTAAAATTAAAATTTAATTATTCTTATATACAGTATTATAAACCTTTAAATTTTTATTACTTACTTAAAGGTATTGTTATCTATATTATTGAATAAAATTTCTTGAGTTATGCATCATAAGATCAGAACTAATATTGATGCATTGATGTATTTGATTATATAATTCTTGTGCAGTAAATTTACAAAGTTTTGATTCTTGGCAGGTTCACATTTTACATTTTACTTCAACACCAAGGTAAGAGTACATAACTTTATATTTACCACCAGGCTTGCCAATTGAGTATTGGATCTAAAATAAAAATTTTATGAATAATTATAATAAATAAATAAATGAAATCATATATATAAAATATACAATTATTTACTAACATCTTTGAACACATTCAATAGTTCTTTTCAACCTTCAACATTATATATATAAGCAGTACCTTCAAGACTTGTTTCAGGATATTCTATAGGCATTAAAGTATGATAAATAACTTTCGTAGCCAATTCTTTAGTAAAATAAGTTATTGTATCTTCATTTAAATCACTTGCAACAACATTATCAATCACTTGAAATTCATCATCAAAAGAAATTAATAAACTTTTACTTTCAAAGGATTCTAGATCTTTTTTGTAAATAGTTTCAACCACATCAATAATATGAAAGTCAGGTTCATTGTTAATATTGAGGTCACTAATATGAAGGTCAGGATCATCGAAGTAAAAATTGTCCATTTTGAGAAAGTAAATATGAACAAAATATACAGTTTACATTGGTAGCTTTTAATTATTTAAAAGAAAAAAATCTTATATACAACATACACACATACATTATCATATGATTATTCAAAATATAATTCAGAATATATCAGCATTATTAAATTGCAGAAATATTACATATTAAGTTTTATGCTAAAATGCTTATATTTTATTTATAATGTTGCAGGGTTAAACACTAATAGGTTCTTTATTGTAAATATAATTTAAGAGAACCTTCATTTGAAATACTGTTGCCTTTAATAAATATATAACTCTTAAAATTATATATATATTATATCAAAAAAACTATTGTTTTTTTTTTACTTTATATATACTAATTACATTATTTATATCATTCTCTATATTAATTTTTTATGCTTCACTTTGCCTTATACTTTTTTATTTTAATTAATCACTGATTTATCACCCATTATGCTATATCGATATTATGCATCTAATCTTGGTTCCGATCATCTACATTTCACCATGATCATTTCAAGCCTAGTACTTATATTACATAAAATGTTCACTTCATACATTTTCATCACACAGATATACTTACAAGTATGACTGTCTTCATACTTACTATACTTATAAGTATGGTCATCTTTTCTACTTATAAGTTTGATAGGTATAATTTTTAAATATAAGTATGAGTATAAGAACTTGAAGTTGTTCTATGCTACTTTTTTTATGTTTCATACTATACTACTTTATATATTACTCTTATTTTTGGCTATGGAGTCCTACAGCTCTAATAAAACCTTCTATATGTTTTTTTTTACTTTATTGTGGTTGGTTTTCATTTTTTAAAAAAGTACTCTAAACTGTATAAATAATGTAAAATTAAATTGAATTTATTAGCTAATCAGACAAACTTCTGCCTATGAACTAGTGCTAGGATTACATGGGTGTATCGATGACAGTTATAACAGATAGAGTTTAAATCTGTGATATAACATTACATACTATAAAATTTATAAATAAGAGTTTGATCAATGTGTGATCAAACTTCTACTTAAAATTGTTTTTAATAAATATTTATTGTGTGTTCTGTAAGGTGTTGTTTGCAAGTAAAAGTAGGGAAGTTGATAAGAAATAAAACTTTATGAACAAGCATTCAAGTGTGAAATAATTGTTATAAACATTTAGTAAAGTTTATTAAATAGCAATAGACATTAATTAACCAAAGCCACCTAAAGTACACTTATTTGATATTTCAAAAAAAAACTCCTCAAAGTCACATATATATATATATTGAACAAATAAAATAGCTAAGTGTTTTTGTTCAAAATGCCAAAATAATAGGTGACAACTTTTATCTTAGAGAAGCTAAAAACAACATCAAAAGAATAATTCACAACATAAAAACTTTATTCCAATAAATTCTATATTTAGTTCAATTTGACCTATTTTAAATACTTCAATGAATCAAAATCTTGAAACATTTAATATACAAAATAATGTTGAAAATAAAAATAAGATAGTTTATTTTAATAATACAAGTGACAGTATAAATATTACAGAATCATATTCAGATATGAAAATTATAGAAAATGTTGAACCATTGCAAGAATGCAATAAAGTAACATAAAGATTATAGTTTTGTAGTTCTTTTGATTCAAATATTTAAATATTATATTTTAATCAATATTTAATAAAATAATTACTATTAACAAAGAGTCCATCCCATAAATTAATAAGATCATTACTATTATTTTAACTAAATTACTTGTCAATAGATTATTTTAATCAAAATAAACAAAATAGTAATTCCAATCAAAATAACAAAAATAATTTTGATCAAAGTAACTATGATATTGTTAATGAAATTAAAATAAATGATGATTTTGATAATATCAATAAAGAAATTGTTGAAGAAACCAATAAGAATTATGAAATAATTGTGCTACTTTTATTATTAAATATTAATTCAAGGTTATTAGATATCTTTTCTAAGTTATTATATAATCCAATAAGACATTTATATAATTCACTACTTCTAAAAGAAAATTATGTAATACAATGAATTATCCTTTAGTTATTTTTGTTTCAATAAACATTTATGATTACTAAGACTAGAATTATAATCTTTATTATTTTTTAGTCAAATATTGACTTTTTTAGATACATTTCAGTTTTAAAATTTTTTTAAAAATCAATATTTTGTTGAAAAAATAATTGCATAACTTAAATCAATTATCAAGCATATAGTGTGCCTATATTGTTATTATCTCTACTCATCTACAGATTTGCATTTAAAAACTTTAAAGCATATAAAATATCTTAAATACAATAAAGTTTTAATAAATGCTATTAGAGAATTAAGTAGAAAACTTAAATATAAGGTTATGGTTACTTTTTTTGAATAATTTGTCAAATATTTTTAAATTAAAAAAAATACAATTTTTTTTATATTAGCCTTTAGCAATTTACACATACTAATCTATTATTACAAGAATTGCATCAATATTAGCTAATGAAGCAAATAAAAAATTAATAGATTTATTATATAATCAACAAGTTAAAAAGAGCATATTGGATAATATATATAATGGAAAAATTTGGTAAGAATTTTTAAATAAGAAAAAGCAACAACTTTTTGTTAAAAATAAAGCTAATGTTTGAATTAGATTAGTACTTAATATTGATTAATATACACTATATAATCATGTTAAATAAAGTTATGCACTTATATATATAACAATTCTTAATTTTCTAAGATATATTAAATATCAAAATAAAAATCTTATTTCTACTAGCATTATATCTAGTCTAAAAGAACCAAATATGAATTAATTACAAAACTATTTTCAATTTATTATTAATAAGCTAAAGTAACTTTGGAGTAAACAATTATTTAAAACTACTTTATATTCAATTGAATGTATATTTTATTATGCATTAATTCAAATTATATGCAATAGACTAACCATATATAAGGTATATAAATATATTATTGTTTTTTAAAATAATAAAATATTTTAAAATTAATTAACAAAACTGAACTTATTATTTACTTATTGATTGAAAAAAATATTTATATATAATAATAAGCAAATTTTAAGCTAAGTTTCTGTTAATATTATTTAATTTACTAATATAAGTTACAAAACTAGCTTTACAAAAAATGGTGATCCTAGTATAGTAGTTGGGTTGTTATCTTCCAAGCAGTAGATCCAGAGTTCAAATTTCATTTGCAGTAAAAATTTGAAAAATGGTTCTATTTTAGTAACTTGTATAGGGTATTTGGAATTGTAACTTTGTAATTCTGATTGTATCAAGACTAACTTTAGAAGTGTGCAATATTACACAAATAAATTCAAAAAATATATACTTTATAAGAAGCTCTATTTGGAAATTCAAAGTAAAGAGATAGTACAATCTTTGATGATGCAATTTGTAAAAATCATAATTTGAAGATAAAAACCTAAAGCAGGTAACCTGTATGAGCAAGAATCCTAAATAAAGAGGTTTACCAATTTGGCTACAGGTTGAACTGAATATAAAGTTGCATTATATAGAGCTAACTAAATTAGTAGTATGAAAGGATTTGCAAAAGTGCACAATGTACTGGTAAGATTGTAAAGAGAAGTACAAAAGTTGTATAAACTCTATAAAGATGTAGCAGTTTAAGAGTTATTCTGATTGCAAGTGTTGGTTTTAGCTATAGCAATACTGGGTCAGCTGAAAATTAGACAACAAAAGGCTCTAGTAGGTTTAGTACAAAATTAAAGGTTTTTTAGATAAATGAATCACTTTAAAAACTTAATGATTATAACATATATATACTAATGAAAACTGGGAAAATTGGTAAAGTAAATAGGTAAGTGGATACAGAAACCAGAGTATTTAAATAAAAAACTTATAAGCAGGTCTTAGATATGGCAGCTAGTATAGAGTTTTTGAGCAGACTACTTAAATTAGACAATGATTAAAATTATACAAATAGTTAGTTGTACACTTTTTTTATAGTTGTTTCTTGTAGCTGTTATAATGCAATCACAAAGCTGAAACAAATTAATAAAAACCTAGGTCACAAGTACTTTACTTTTAATATTAAAAAAAAAATCAGCTTTACATTCTTCAAAATATGCATACATCAAATGTATTAGAATTTTTTTTATAATTTTTAAGAACTTTTAAACTTGATTATTAAAAACTACTGGTCTCTCTGAAACCAACTATGAACATTTAACACATTTAAACTCTAAAGATCAAAATATAATTCAACTTTTCTTATTAAAATGCTTTATATTCTAACAAATCCCAATATTATGAAAAACATCTAATATTTTTCTAATTCCAAAAAAATTTCTATAGGACTTTACTTTAACCAAGTCAGACCTATTTCACTAATTGAACCTATAAAAAAATATCTCATCAAAATTTTTACAACCCACCTTGATCAAATCATCACTCAACATCATCTATTAAGTAACTTAAACTTTATAGCAACTAAAAATAGCTCAACTTACATTCCTATACAAATATTACTAAATACAATCGAATGCTAGAAAACTAATAACAAAGAGGCATGGATACTCTTTTAAGACATGTTGAAGGCTTTTGATAAAATCAACATCTAATGATTGCTAGATGTCTGCAAATGTATTGGCATCTCCCAAGCTGGTCTAAATTTCATCAAATCTTTTCACCAAGACAGAAAAGCCAGAGTAATTACTGTCTATAGTCTTACTGACTCAATCACACTACACTTAGACATAGAACAAGGAGAAACCTATTTTTCACTACTCTGAAAAATTTATTATGACTCTATTCTTAGCTATATAAACTCAAAATACAACTCAAAACTCCTTAAAATCTCATCACAATCTTCTTTAGAAACAATCTTTTCAACTATACTATCTACTACAACAATACCATCTTTTGCCTTTATAGATGATATAGTATGGCACTGTAAATCCAAAAATGATTTTCAAAATATTCTAGATGACATATCCAAACTTTATCAA